TATATATATATATATATATATATATATATATATATATATACACACACACGTAAAAGATCAAATGAGAACCATTAAAAGTTAAGAACTCTAAGAACGACTTTTTTAGCTTATTATTAAGACTACTTTTATGTATCATATACCAAACATCCAAACACTCAAACTTTTTCAAACTCTCTCATCAAACTTCAAGAACACTCCAACCTTACACCAGCTACCATCACCACACCACCGACGTACCGCCGACATGTCGTAGTCGCACCACCGTCGTCGCCGCCTCCTATCTCCGGTGAACTATTCCGATCATATCTGCATGCACCGACCGATTCCAAATCTAAATTTTCAGCTTCAGATCTAAAAATATCCCCACTAGATCTTTGATTTTCTGTTTCAGATCTACAACCATCAGCAAGCGACGAAGAACCACCACTATCATCAACGATCGTCACCGATGTTGTCGTCATCCTCCGATCTCCAATGAAACACCATCAGATCTGCCGCCTCCTTTGATTTTTCTCATATCTTTCTTTTCCTCTCTGATCTTTGGTGAAAAACTTCTAGATCTAATGCAAATCTGATGTGTTTCAGGTTAGATCTCCAGTGAAACATTACTGTCTTCGTCGCACCAGGTGTCACTCGCACTAGATCTATCATCGTTGTTTATACCGCTGCTAGATGTGAATTTGTCTCGTCCAGATCTATGATTTTCGCCACCATAAATGTCCAGATCTGTGGTTTCATTTTCTTCAACTCTCAGATCTGGTGAAACATCGCCAACTTGTCTCTATCTTTTGCTCTCTGATCTCTGGTAAAACATCACCAGATCTGCATCAGGTATGTCAATTTTTGTATTGATTGTTTTTCCTTTTGTTAAGTTGTGAATTTAATGTTTTAATCTCACTTTTTTTGTTTACTTTTCTTAATATTAGTTTTAACTACTATTAAGCTGTGAATCAAAGTTTGTTTTCTTATTTGTAATGATTTTTCCATATAATTGTTGTTCATAGCATAGGGTTTTTAGTTGTTATGCTATGAATTTAATTTAAAATGTGTTATAATGCACGTGTTATAAAAAATAATGTGAATCCAGATTTTTTAAGTTGTGAATTGTGATGTTTAAATGTTTTACTAATTGTTTAGGCCTATTAATGTTGGTTTTAACTGTTATGAATAAAGAAATATTTGTTTTATGATGTGAATACATGATTTTTGAAAGTTTTAAGCTGTGAATATATGATTTTTTTATAACATTTAAGCTGTGAATGCATATTTATATTTATTTTTCTACTTACATTTGTTATAGATCTTTATGATGCATTTTTTTTCTTCTGTTAAGCTGTGAATTTTAATGTTTTTATTTATCATTTGTTGTTTTCTTTTGCTGATCTTAGTCATAACTAATATTAAGCTGTGATTTTTTATTTAAACTATGAATTGATTATATTAAGCTGCAAAATTTTAATAAATTTTGTGTTAAAATATGAATGATTATGTATGAATGTTTGTACTAATTTTCTTGTGAATATATTTAGTTTTTGTGTTGTATAAACATTTAATAATGTATTAGTTTTTATAATTATTTTGAAATAACTTTAAATAAGTGAGCTAATTGGTTTATTAAATTGTGACTAAAGTATTTAAGCTGACAATTAATAATGATTTTATATATACAGATCAGATTTGGAAGAAATGATGAGTGCGACTGTGACACATATGATTGGTGGTGGTGGTAGAGTTTGAGTTTGACTTCTATAAATATGTGAATTAATGTAGAATTTATTGTATTATGTTCTGTTATAAATTTTATGTATTAAACTAAAAATAAACTCTATTAAATTGTATATTTTATATAAATTTTGTGTTAAATTATGAATGAAGTTATGCATTAAAAGATTAAATTGTTTATTAACAAACTAATATGTTTATTAAACTGCGAATAAGGTATTTTAAACTGTGAATAAATCTTATACACAATATTTTTTGTAAAGAAATCTATAATTAAAAATAATAATAATAAATTTGTCAAGGAATAATTTTACTTTTTATTAAATTTTTGTACATTTAGCTGCATAAATGAAATGTTATGTGTTCAAAAGTATTACCAAAGAAGTGAGAATTACAATGTTTGTTCTATTAAGTTGTGAATACAACTACAAAAAATGTCATTAAATTTGGTGTTAGTCCGGTGGCGTTCTGACGGTGGTCCGATGGAGGTCCAACAACAAGTGACAATTAATTGTAAACTAAGGAATAGAAAAGTTTGCTTAATCTAATATTAATGTTTGATTTGTCCAAAATACCTTTAATAAAAAAAATAAAAATCGATTTTTAAATTTTTTTTCAGAGAATTTATAAAAAAAGCTACGATTTTTAAGAATATAAAGTCAAAAAAAGATTTGTGATCTCTAAGTATTTTTTTTATACATATTTATGATTTTTAGGGTTTTTTTAAGGTTTTTTTGTTTTCCATATAACCTTCCTTGCGACAGTCTTTTTGGTATATCCACTTTCTATCATAACTCATCCAAAATCTTTTGTTACAACAAACTATAATATATATGTTCGTATCTTTATTTTACAAAGGCTTTGTATAACAAAAATAATAATAATAAACACGAAGGTTCAAGTGATCGACAACACAATTCAAGTGACATAAGAACATTCGAGGAAACTTTGGAACTACATGCAATGAAAGGACATGCATTAAAATGATGGTGTCTGCTCTGCAATTCTAATGAACAAGACAAAACCTAAGCTGTAACATGGGATTGCCCACTCATTCTAATAATTCACTTGATTTAATGTCTACTGTCCAAGCATCATTCACTCGTATCTTTTTTGGATTTTTATGTTTTCAAATTATCGGAAAATTTTGGTTTAACCTAGCACGCGCGAGCATAAACAGTTGCTCGACCAATATGTGATGGGTTAAGCAAATTGAATCTTTAATTAAAACCTTAGGAATGGATCTCATCTTAACAATTATTTTATAAGCTAGCTTATTTATTAATAAATTAACTTATCCGTTAAAAGCCAGTTTTCCGCGTGAGGGCCTAAGTCAAGTGTGGTTTGTAGCTTGTAAGAGGTCCTTGCGGTTTATTTTATTTGAGAGTCATCACTTGCCCAACCAAAAAGGAAGAGTTTTATCTAATTCTAGAGTATATATGTGGGTTGAATACTATGATAACAAAAATTAAATGAAACAATTAACCTAACAAAAATAAGATATACAAGGACAAAAAGTCAATAGATATGGTTTTTACTATAAAAAATCCATGGAAAATTGTTTCTTAACAAACAAAACAAACTCTAATTTAATTATAATCTATTTGGATATTACACTATTAGTTGTGAGACTCGTATATTATATACATTTATTTAGAAAAACATCGATATGAATTTCTAAACATTTGGTGATTTAGTTTGAATTGATAAGGAAAATGAAAAAATATATATTATTGAAATTAAAGTGTTCCATTCTCTTTTAAATTTAAACAAACAATTTAAATAAATTAACAAATAACATAATTAGGCTTGAATTTATGAATTTTGAAATTAGAAGGAAAGTCTGTAATAATGAAATTGATATCCTTTTATTATTATATTTATTTCAATTATTACATATAAATATACTATGTGAAATTTAATAAAACTAAAAAAAACCATAAAATTACAAAATTAATTTAAAATAACCATAAAATGACATGTAACAAAATAAATGAAAATATAACATTTGTAAAAAAAATTATTTATTAGAGTAGAAGATCTCAACATTATATACCAGTGGGTTATACACCTTGTATTTTGGTTCTCTAGGTAACATAAAGAGATTGCACAAATGAATAACTTACAAAAAGGAGGTAAATTGAACATAAATGAATATATTTATATTGTTGAAAATAATATATATGTAAGATCAATAATGTTAATAATACTATGTTAGTTTACGTTATTGTAACTATTATGTTGAAAGGGTGTGTTTTGTAAATTGTAATATCGGTAAGTGATAAAGGGTCCATATGAAAGTTCTAAGGGGACTGAGTGTATATCAGATAAGTCAAGGGAATGTGGCTTGTTTTCATCAAAGTTGTTGTGGATACAGACCCTATTTGGGTCGGGTTCATTAGGTTTGGTCTGGGTATACACCAGATTTGAACCACTATTTTACGCTGTGTATATACTGTCGATTGCAAGGTAAATTGCACTGATTCAACTCATTTGTGTGATCGTTCATTCACTTATATCTCTCTCGTCTCTCTCGTCTTCTACAATTTCATGTCCTAGGACTTATTAGGGTTTCATGTTCAAGCTGTAGTTCTTGAGTTTGTAATATATGTTCTTCTTTTCTTTTGTGTAGTTGTATAGTTGTGAGTGTTTATGCCGTAAGTTTTAAGTTGTAAGTTAAGGAAAACCATCTAGATCTTATATATCAATTAATGATCTCTTGATGTTGGAATAAGTTTTGTGTTTCTCTACATGGTATAATAAGTTTTGGTGCTCTCTTAGGGTTGTGTTGATCTAGTTAGGGTTTTCTTTTCCATATTAGATTTGAGTTGTTCTGAGTCGTTGTTTGTGTTCGATCTTTATGTATTTTGGGAAGATCTTTTATGTGCCGCTAGATCGTGTGAATCTAGTTTCTTCTAAAGAATTCTTTTTTAAAACATTTATATCCATCAAGTTGGTTAAGAGTAAACATATCGTTAACAATAAACGTTAGAGACAACTCTTTGTTGTCTCTAACGGTCAACGCTATCATAGACGGCCAACGCTATCAAAGACGGTCAACGTTAACCAATTACAAATGGTTGTTTTTTACATAGATCTAGTATTTGAATGCTTTTTGTATCAAATTGGTGTTAGATCTAATTATGTTGGATCTAACAAGAATGTACATAGTTGTTTGTACAACGCGTGGTGGAGTTCTGTAAGCTTTTTGTACACCTCTCATCTTTCTAGGTTTTCTTAGGGTATTTGTCTGTAAATCACTTCTCTGTTATTTGATTGTTTTGGTCTTATGTACCATTTATTTGTTTGTTATTTGTTGTTCTTTAATTCTAATTTGTGTATCTATTTGTTCTTGTGTTTATCTACTAACTATTGACTATGCTCTTTTTTGTTTCGTTATATGTACTGGCTTGCTCTGGTTTACAAGTCGGGTAGAATCTGGTTCAGTATAGGTAGTTTGGATTGTTGGGAACATAAATCATTTGTCATATAGTGTGTAGTAAACATGGTTGGAGAAACTCCTTCCAGATCCGGTACAAGGAATCCATATCATTATGATTTTGATGATCCTTTATTTTGCATTCGTCTAATAATGGTATTTGTTTCTATAATCAGTATTAAACTCACTAGAACTGAAAAATTTAGGGTTTGAAGGAGTTCTATGTTAAGAGCTCTAAGTTGGGGTTTGTTGATAATACTTTTCATAAACTTAAAGAAGATTAAACTAAAATACTAAACA